CTCCAAAGTTAAATGATTTTGAAATGGGACCTGTAAATCGTAGGCATGAAATTAACGCAACGAACGTCTCGTGTGACTCGTGATGTGTAGGGATCGGATTTCTCCCCTATGAGATCGATATAACGACGAGGTCAACTCTGCAGCGTTCTGACAAAATCGGATCAAGTCTACAAGGGCCCAGTCTAAATCTAAGCCCAAAATGACATTAAACCCATAATCAAAATGGACTTAATGACATTATGGGCCTAAATTAGATATATTGCTTAATGGGCCAAACCCATATTATTAGTTGACCCATTTACTTAATAAAGCTATATATAGCTCATTGTATTCACCCAAAAAGGGGTTCAGAACTTTTGGTGGAGAAACTCTCTTGTAATCACAGCTTAACAGAAACAGCAATAACGAATTCTTATTCTTAGTATTTGTTCTAAGTGAGTCCGTGACATAGAAATCTCTAATCCCTAAACACCCTTGACAAATTTAACTGCGTGGATCCGACTCCCACAGTTTGGCGCCGTTTAAGGGGAAGAGATTTTCTGACACAAAAGAATCACTTCGCACACCAGACCTAAGAGGATGACCAGCAGCGTCAATAGCAGTGGTAACAGCAACGACAACTCCTCGGCATCGCAGCCAGACAACACGGCCGCCAGATAGAGCCAGGCAGGCAGCGACGCTGCCGATGTCACTGCGACAAATCCTGCAGCCTTCACTGAACTGAAAGACATGATGAAGATATTGCTCGAGAGGTCAGCAGATCATGAAGACAAGCTTAAGGCTCTTGCAACGGCAAGCAAGACCCGCAAGAAAAAGACCAAGATTGGCAGACCACGGCGGTCACTCAGGCAGCTCAAGCCGCACACCCTCAGATTCTCAACGCCAGGCACTGCGCAAAGAACCCAGGGTGATCTACCACCGCCCCGCCTCTATAGACAACGGGCCCAACTCCAGAACAGGCCAACAGAGCGACGGGCACAAGAGCAACTACTTCAGGAAGGATCGTGTAGGAGCACCAAGCTGCTTCAGGAAGGTTCGCGCGGATGGTCGGCACGAGCGACAACTCCCGCAGGATACGCACCTCTGGAAATCATAGCGTATCTGCAAGGATAGATCGATCTCGGACTCGTCGGAAGGAAGTGGATATCGAGCGAGACCAAGACTTCGCCGACGCAAAAAAAGATCTCTACTGGACCGAGCAGTTCGAACGCGAAGAGGAGCGTAAGGCCTTACTCCAACTTGAGCGCGCCGCCTCCGACTTAAGAGCCGCACAGTCCCAGATGCACCAGGTCAACAGCAA